CTAAATTTTACATATTTACTGGGTTTTAATTTAGCGCATTTTTCAGTCAGCGAAATAAGCAAAATTAAAACCCATTGAATAATTAACCCTTTTACAGTACATGGTATGTAGCTCAGCTAGCAGAGAGTGTGTCTTTTGTTTGACTACTATTTACATGTTTTGTTAACAGGAGCTGATGTTGTCCCATAATTGTGTACATATCAGATGGAAGGGAAGAAAGTTGTTTCAGGTGAGCTAGATGAATACAAATATTGTTTAGTACACTGTATATACATATATGTACCAGTATACTTTCATTGCATTTGAAATATAATTTATATACATATAATTCTTCATGTGATTTATATATAATTAACTTTCCTATCTAATGCCAATAACTGTTGTCTTTCAGATTTTATTAAGTAATGGTGTTTTAGTTACAATTCAAATATCAGTTCATTCAGGGGATATTGAAAAGTTAACAATTGATAAATCTCTGCAAGGCAAACTAGCAGCTGACCCTGTCAATGATGGTAAGTATGCATGGTACGTAGTAGACATGGGACAAATATGGTTGTATAACTTGTCATTGTGATTTCTATTACAAGACTAAACACAAATTACATATAGCCTTCCACATAAAGCTGATTCATTTCATTTTTGTACTAGACACACCATCCCATCACATTACCAATGGATGCTGCTCACAGTAACTGTCTGAATACATTTCATGACCATACATCTGTATAACCACACATTTCACTAGGGACTTTTTACTCCTGTTTGCTCAGTTTGCACACTGTTACACAATTTGCTTTTTGCACTGATTGACATTGCACCCAAAATAATATTATGTGTACCAAATGACTTGTAACATTTGTGTTGAAAGATGCAGTTACTGAAACAAAAACACATACTGACTGATTTGATGTGGTGGTGTGGTTGAGAAAGGCATACACACTATCATAGCAGCTGGGACTTTATAATCCCATTGTCTTACTAAGTGTCTGTTAGTAACTTATCACCTAATGATGTGATACATTGCTATAATTATTACTGATATACATAAATGTAAACATTTTTTTTTTAGCAATCATCACCGACAGTTTTTTGATGTTTACATATCCTGAGAAACCTAAAGCCACTTTAGTTTATTTTAATAAGAAACCTTCTGTTGGTGAAACTGCATCCAAGAAAATAGAAAAACTATCAACATACGATCCAAAGGTAAGTGGTGGGTCTATTAGTTCTATCATTTTTTAAATAGCTACCTAGTGTACCAAACTTGCCTACACATTCTAGTACTTTAAAATACATTTCGTTTTTGGCACCAAATAATGTAAGTTATTCTACCCCTCTTGAAATGTGTCACCAGCCTGGTGATATTATACATCACATCATGTTTATAGTTGGCATGCATGATACAGAAATATTAATTTTACTCAAGTTCACATCACATCTTGGCATGCTTGAGTTCCTATTACATACTTTATTACTCATTTTTTATTTTATCCCTATTTCATGTATATTTGTTTTCAGTTTTCACATCTTGACTTACCAGGACCAAAAGGAAAGAGACTAGAGAGAAAGTTATCAATAAATACTCATCAAGAATGGGTAAGGTACACTTGAGATGTTATGCCAGTATATTCTATTCACACATACATTGCTTTCAACAAGTTTCTACACAAGTTTTTAGTCCCCATTCCTACGAAGTCCGAAAACGGGAACTTATAATTCGGTCTCCGTCCGTCCGTGTGTCCATGCGTCCGTGTGTCTGTGCGTCCGTGCGTCCGTCCGGAGTCATATCTCAGAATCCCTTGGACCGATTCTGTTTATTCTTTGCATGTGCCTAGTACTTTATGTGGGACATATGCACATGCAGTGGTTTAGCGATTCGATTCAAAATGGCCGACTGGCAGCCATCTTGTTTTTTGAAAATGTTGTATTTTGGCATGTATGTAAATGTGTTGAGATGGGCGTAGTGCGAGTGGTTAGTGCTAGTAGCACTAATCCGAAAAAGTACTAGATCTAGTGGTAAAAATGGCACTAGATCTAGCGCAAAAATGGCACTAGATCTAGTGCTAAAATGTGCACAGTGCGAGTGGCATTGTTATCGCATTGTCAACGACGTCGAATAATAGGAGGGGCATCAACAACCACTTCATATGCAAACTACAAACAGTATAAAACATCGGCAATATCTGTGAGATGTCCATAATATTACTTTCTTTATATAATACCGGATTCTGCTGTAAATTCGCTCATCAGAAAAATCGTCCTGGGGATTTCACGGCTGGTGGGCGCTTATTTGGGGTTCAAAATTTCAAAAAATAATCATCAAATATTTTTGGGGGACTTATTTTCATGGTACGCAGACTTTCAACGCCGTTAGTTGGGCCACCCAAGACGAAAGAAACTATTGCAGAATTAACAATAATTAATAATTCTTGCTGAATTAAAAAGTAGACTGCCTGAAATGTCATTACAGTGTCGCCCAGTGTCATTTTTCAAATACATTTGTTTTTATTTTATTGGTAACGAAAGAATATTGTAAACGAAGTTTCATATAAAAACAAACACAACTGCATTGCGTAGTAGCAAACGATCACAGTTGCGTAATCCGATCATGCTGCGTTTGACAATTGTTGATTATTACTCAGTAGTGATTATAATAACGCACAAAAAATAAATTCGTTGAATTGTTATGAAATTCAAATAAAATTCAACTTAATTTCATCGTAAGCAAATGATTCCGATCGCATATAAACGCTCGATGCTGTATGGTATCCACCATGTTTCTCTTGCATGAGTTGAGGTCAAATCGCTAATTAACCAATCAAAATGCTGAATGATGCCAACGTGTTCAAATCACCATAGCTCATTTAAATATGTTAATGTTATTGAACGCAACGCGGAAGAGATTTACCGATGTTGTAGTACGATCTTTTGGCTTGGATTTTGATAGGGAAATGGCATGATTTTTTTTTCAAATCTAAAAATAGTTGTTTTCAAGAGATGAACTGAGCATTAGAAGAATAAATTAACATTGTTTACAGTGATAACAGCTCTTTGTCCAAACGAGGCTTACCCATTCACACTAGTCACAATAAACACGCTCTTGAATAAAGCTGTGAAGGGTTAAAATACGCATTTCACAACCGGAAATTCAACAGACGAACTTGTTACTTCACAGATTTTACATGTTTTAATTATTAGCAACTGTAACAAGAACAAGATTTTGAGAGTCTACAGCAAAAAATCCTAAGGACTCCTAACAAATATCATTGCAGAGAAAGTGTCTAGACATATATTATATGGTCACGTTAAAAAATCGGCGAGGTATATCATATTCCGCTAACTGGTTACTTGTGTAAGCAATCGCAAACTATCATCGACATCAAAGATGAGCTAGACAATGTCCATATCAGGATTAACTTGGGTTGAAACAAAAGGAAATAAGCCAGGCAATATAAATGGTCACTTGAGATGCGTTGTGGACCCTTTAGTACCTCCATGCTCCGAATATTACCGAATGCTTGAGATTAGCGTAATCCATTGTAAAAAGGGGCTAAGAGCTAACGAGACCAATGTTTGTGAACGAATATTGACAAACGATCACAGGGTAAAGCTAAAACAATAGCGTCGTGGCTTTTTCCCGTTAGTACCGCCATGGTACAATGTAACAACAGAATTGCGTGAATCGACTTTTACCATTGGTTGATTATGTCCGCAAAGGTCAATGTCATGACAACCAGACAACGGTTCATTTTCTGTCTAGTTCCCAGCGGTACTGAGCAACATGTCAATTCACAGGTCGCCGTACACACAAAATCTGCCGAGCTTTACAGGGATTCGGGACTTAGACTAGCAGTATACACATTTTTTATTTAGTTCATATATGCCATCATAATTTCATTTACGAAGATCTATTTTCATTGAGTGTGGCGCCGACCAGAAATAAAACGGCACGTCAGCGATTAAAAAAAAAAATCAACGCTGAATTCCACCATTTACATACAAGTTACAAGTTTACATACGCCGAAGTTGAAAACACAAACTTCCACACAATACCATTTCATACAGTGTATCTATTCACAATTTGTAAAAATTGCGAAGTTCGACCTGCAGTTTCACTGACCATGGAGCTAGTTTCCCGGCCGATCGCGTTGTTTCAAAGGTCTATTAGTTACGATACACGTGGACAATGACATTCATGTACATACTCAGTTTTCCCACTGTAGCACATTTCCAATAAATGAAAGATACAACAACTTTACGTAAATATTAATTTATTTTCAGACAATTACGGGATGTCTCGACGTCGTTGACAACGCGATATCAATGCCACTCGCACTATGTACATTTTAGTACTAGATCTAGTGCCGTTTTAGCACTAGATCTAGTGCCATTTTAGTACTAGATCTAGTGCCATTTTAGCACTAGATCTAGTACTTTTTCGGATTAGTGCTACTAGCACTAACCACTCGCACTATGTCCATTTCGACACATTTACATACCTCTAATTAGGAGAGTAGTACCTTCACCTCTATTCAAATGCACCCCATCGCTGCTAAGGTGGCGATCCTCAATATTTGTCATACTAATATGATATCTGGTATCGGTATCACACAATGAAAGGATGGCAATATTGAATGACTTCATTGAATGCATTTGTTGTTTGTCCCAGACCAATCTTCTTGTCACATCACACAGGAACAAGGTTTTGTTTGGTAATGTCTCATGAGTAATCAAAACTAGATCTTCATAACACCTGATTGTATCATCTACAAGCCCTCCATTATCTATGTTGTTACCTCCAATATTGAGAGTTAAACTTTTCATAGAGGATGGAAATTCATTCTCCAGGATGGCTTTCTTCATTGTATCTATTGTAGCACCTCTATATGACAGTACCATTTGGTTCTTCGCTAATCTGGCATTGTTGATATTGGATGTCTGTGAATCGCTCATAATCAAGTGTTCTACACCATTAGGAATTTTGCGTTTATAATTACGTTTTAACACTGGATGATCTGGCACCTGTAAAACTGGTTGTGTTGAGCTGTATTGGTGATTAATTAGTGGTGATGAACTGGGTGTCACACCATTGTTTTTCTTCTCTTTGGAGTTACAGTGATC